CTGTTTGGCAGCTGAGAAAATGTATTGTATAACTTACCAGTCTGCGATTGCAGATTTTAATCTTTCCGAGTAGCCCCTGAGATCTGAAGGGTCGTCGGAAAGGGTTTCCGGTTTGGATATCCTAACGACGTCGTCCCAAGTGAAGACATCATCGTCGGAGGCATAAGTGAGAACTTTGTGAAAAGCTTGCTGGGTGGAACGAACTGGGAACGACGTCGTCAGCGCCTTGGGGAAAGCGCGAAAAGCTTTGGCGGTAAAGCGGAAGGCCAGAGAGTCGATGAGTCTGTGAGAGAGCTGAGGAATGCCGCCGCTGCGGGCCATGAGAGCGGGTTCGATTCTCATCTTACAAGATATCCTTTTGTTGCTACACTTACAGTACTCACCAATTGAAAATGATTTGGTTAGTTGTTTGTTGCTTTGTCTGTTAATTGATGAACTCAACCATTTCAATTTTAGTCAAAGTCAAAGTCAAAATTATGCATCCTTTGATAACCATTTTAATTTTAGTTTTTGGTTTTGATTTTTGTGTGTTAGAGTATGGAGGAAAATGAGAGAGAGGATGAGATAATTTTGAAGAAATTATTTTAAGTTTCAAATAAAAGCTTGAAAAGTGAAAACGATTTCAAATAGATTTTAGTTTTAAGTTTTTGTTTTCAAGTTTGTTACTCCTTCCTCTCATTCTCACCTCTCATCTTCTCTCTCAATCCCAATCTTCACTCTCATTCTCCTTCTTTTTCCTCTACACTTCAACACAAATATAAAAACTAAAAATTAAAATTGAAATAATTATCAATCCGGCCCTAAATTTACTTGGTATATATATCTCAGAGCTGGATTTATTGAATTTATATTTGAGCATTTAAAAAATGCCGGTACTAAAATTCAACTAGTTCATTGTATGTATGATCGCATATTAGAGTCAATATGTTGTTACATAACTATTTGTTTCTGGGTTCCAAAGGGTTTGTTGAACTCCCTTCACATTCTTCCTAGCAAGAAGCAACACTTGGGATCATCAAGCCTTGCAGGTGGGAAATTAAGCTCCCTATAATATATTGAACTGGGTTAATTGCTGCATCCACACCATTTTTCCCCCATTCAAATGGGCACAAAAATTCCAACAACTTTAAAACAACCTCATCATGAGGCATATTGGCATACTACACGTTCTGATTAAGTTAATTACGGGCAGAAAAGCAAGGCTCCATAATACCCTACATAAATAAAAGAAACTAGAAACAGGAAGTCTACGACTACACATCTCACTCGTCATCAGCTTGCTACATTCCTCTGAGGCCATCATAATGTCTGTTTGTACAACCAATACAGTTTTGCAGTTTGCATCTTCCGCAAAAGTACAGTGGGGTTGCACACTTTCAATTTACAAAGACTCCGGACTAGTTGACGGTCTAATTCTCGAAGGCATTCGCATGGGTTGGTTTATTGCACCACCAAACCTACTATGTAAGGAATCCTTTGGTGTGATTGACATTTTGTTCAATGCAGAGCCAACTTCAGCAAAATCAAAATGTTGTTCCTCCAAGCTCTGCATAATCCCATAATCCATTCCACCGTCATCGTCACTGGCAAAAGCTTCGCCGACATCTTCATCACTGGAATCTTCGTCATCATATGTAGGTTGAACCATTGACCAGAAAATGAAGTTTGGCCGGATGTAACTTTATATATATATATATATACATACATACATACAAATGGAAAAACAGTGTCAGCAAAGCATTCAAATCAACTTTAAACGTTTGATTCTTACATTTAAGGAAGTTTTCCTTTTCACACACCCAAAAGAAGTGTGGACATGATCTGTGCGAACGTGAACAGATCATCAAATAAGACACTTTGATGTAGGGACTTAAAAGTCTATTTCCCAAAAAGACACTTTGATGTAGGGACTTAAAAGTCTATTTCCCAAAAAGGGCTAGGTGTACCAAATTTTATGCTCAAGGAATGCATTTTCATTCTGAAATTATCATGATCCCTGTCAATTTCATGCATCCGACCAGAGTTTTTCCAATGTATGTGATTTTAGATAAAAAGGCACCTCCTACTGAAAGAACCAATTCAAAGCTAATACAAACCTGTCACTTTTTTCCAGCAGACATGGGTCAAATGGGAAGAACATGTCGAGTCTTTCTGTCCCACCAAATTCCCTCGAAAGTTCTGATTCCAGGTAGTCGTCAAAAATGAATTTCTCAGATGTCATGAATAACCTAGCTGCTTTTGCTTGTCGTAGAAACTCCAACACAATGGAAGACAGACACACCTTCAACGGGCTCAACTTATTATTCAAAATTGACTCTAAAGGCAAACGAACAAGCCATGGCTTCAGCTGAGGATCATCCATCATTGATCTCATTCGGAAGCACAGCACATACATGATGGCCTGTTGGACCAATAAATAACCGTTAATAGAAATGCTTCGCACTGATTGCACATATTTAAAGTTAATTTGTTATTGCAACAGATATGACAAATATAAGCAACCTAAGCATAGAAGCACAGGTATAAAATAATGCAACTAACAAAAAAACTAATAATCATAGGTGTACAGACAGCATATAGCACAACCTGTGCTCCACAATACACTCATTATCATCTCAATGTTTATACTTCCATTGCATAAACATTTCTTCTTCTCTTTTTTCCTTGAGATAAAAACGAAAATATATTTCAGTATGAAATTCAGTTTATAAACAGAACTTTATTCTCTTTGCATGCCATCTTGTTAATAATGAAGCTGAAATATTTGATTACTATAATTTTGAAGAAATTATTTCCAAGTAAAAATTTAAATAAATAAAAACACTAACCTGACATCCAGAATAAAATAATCTATGAGCTTTTGGATTTATTACATTATCCTGCATTTTGACGTATTTCACACACCAATCCACCAACCTGGAACCAAAGTAACATATGACAACTGCATTAGACAGATTCCTTTGGCCTTTCTTTTCTCAAGTCTCGATGTTAGGTCATTGTAATCATACAGATTAGATGGGAATGGGGATTTATGTTTGCGCACAACCTTTCCAGTGTGCCAGCAATAACAAAGACTGACAGAAACTTGGCACGAGACAAATAACTAGCAAGATAAGCAACGGCTTTCATTCTGCACAAAACCCAAAAAAGAGAAATCAGTACCACAGCAATGCCCCCAAACATGTAAAACTTGAAATGTGGGATTTTCAAAATGTCCTCTTTCGTGACCGTAATAGTTACAGATGAATACAAGAACTCAAGATATTCTCCTAGTAAACACAGACCAAAAGAAGAAGAACAGAAAAAGTATTTGAGAGAGGCTCATGCAACCAACTGCATCCACCTCTATGGTCTAAGAAAACCAAAAATTTAAACCATACAGGTACCCTCCCAGGTTTCCCAAACATGTGCAGTGGGTGATAAAGCATGTTATATATTGTATCATAAAGGGTACTAAACAAAAGTCCAGATGTTCCCCAGAAAAGTGTCAAACCTAAATTCAAAGGTCCCATATAAATGCAAGGTATAATAGCAATTAGAGGAAACTACAAATCAAATGGTATAGCTGATAAATAAATAAAAATATGAAATGTTTAAGTCCATTTTAAGCAGATCACAATCCTAAAAGCAACTCTCCAACTCATCATTTAAAAAAACCATATTACCTGAGAACAGGGCCGTCGGTACTGAAAAAGAAAGTATGTTCAAGCATCAAAGCAAATGTCACACCGCAGTTTTTTGGATCAAGAGAACATGCATAGAATATCACAAACTGAAATAAGGCAAAAGAAATTTAATGAGGATTAAAATAAACCACTGGATATGACATAAAGCATAAAATGATAAAAATCATATATGGTAATAATTTTGTACACTCACCTGGGCAAATTTTGGTTTGTATGTAGTCAAAATAGTCTTCTTAAATAACTCGAGAAGAGTATCAAAGATCTAAACACATCATATACATAGGAAACAATATGTGAATTGGGAGACGATCATATTGACATGTAAACCAGAAATCAAATTATTGAAAGATACCTTAATCAAAGCCCAAAGAAAATTTTAAAAATATTTGAAAGATACCTTGATCAAACGGTCAGCCACTTGACAAGATTCAAGATGCTCAAAAGTTAACACCATCAAGCTATCTAATTTTTCAGCAAATGAATTTCCTCCTAAAATCTTCTGACTTAATTTTCTTGGAAGCTGTATAAATAAAGTGCAATCACTTTAAAATGAAGGGCTAAAATCATCATAAGCAGTCAAGCAAAATAGTAATTATGTAAGGACCAAAACAAATATCAATAAACTCTGTCCAAAGTAGTAACTGTGCTAGAAAGTCATATTCTGCTTCTCCCTCACTCTCTCTCTCTCTCTCTCCCCATCTTTTCTTTCTTCATAAGATTTTGAATCCACCCCTTTCCCTCATGCATGCTAACCTTCTTAGCAACTCCTTGTTAACATTGCTTTAATTAGAACCATTATCAAGACGGTTTACACCATACATCCTAACTGTGCCTGAATCTCAGCCTCTTTCAACTTAATCCTCTCCATATTCCTAATTCATAAAGAAATCCAAGACTTTCTTGCATAATGCATCATCTGTTCCATTTACATAGTTTTAACAAATACAATCATACCTCATAGTTTTAACAAATTCAATCATACCTCACTATCATCATCTCTAGACTCGTCCCCATCTTCTAGCTCCATTTCAAATATTCGTTCACTAGTTTCATTTTCTATGTCTTCCCATCCAATATTCACCTGTAGGCAGCCAGTCCATAATGTTGTCATGAAAAGAAAATAATTACTTCACTTCAACTACTAAATAAATTGTACATTGAATATACATACATCGAGTTCTAGCAGCAAATCCACAACACCCGCAAACATTGGGATCCGAACCACTTCTCCAAGCACGCCACTCTCCAACTTGAACATGTTCTCTACGTATATCACAAGACTAAGGGTCTACAAGAGCAACATAGCATATTATATATTTAGCAATCAAGAGAACACTGGGATTATAAGAATGTGGACATTCAAAAGGAGAAGAAATTTGAAGAATGTACAAATGGTATATAATATACATCACTAAACATTGACCTAAACGTTCATGGCCACTTTCCATCTCTAGCCTATGCATCATCATAAAGCTAACAAAGATTGAAAATGATATCTTTTAAGTTAACAACATCAATTACTAGATGGGTAAGTGCACATTTAACTTACACTAATAGTATTAAAACAATATTGTGGCTTTCCATTTAAAACAATTGGCACTAGTCTCACAGGGGAAAGTGGCACCAAATCAGCTATATATTTCAGAGATGAATGCACACGAGATAAAACTCCGTCCTTTCTTGCAAGAATTTTTGGAAGTGGCAAACTAAGAGGTGGAAAGAACTGGCATGTGAGCATCTTCAAACAATAATCAACATACTTCCCGCTTGAAGTGGCCTGCAGCATTTGCAAAGTGAAAATCAATCTAAAAAATTTCCCAATTCATTCTCAAAGCTTTGAAAGTGACACATATAGAAACATATAAAACCAACATACCAAGGATTCAATGAATTCAAGCAATGCATCCATCACATCAGGCTTATAGTTCCACAAGCTCATGTTAGAAATCTGAGACATTTTAGCAATGAATAATTAATAAAACCCAACTATGGATTAAAAGCAAACAGAACAAAAACAAAGGTCATAAGACAGCTTACTGCAGAGAGAAGTTCATCATGTAGAACGTTGTCTATGTAAGCAACTGCTCCAGCTAGTGCTTTCAAATTTGTCTGCCAAGTAACAAACGAAAATTCAAAACCAAACAAAATGAATTGACGTGAAACAAAATCAAATGATTATAGGCACGAACATGTTACATACCACAAGCATAGCTACTTCATTAGCGCCAAGCTCTTCGGGGTTCATAGCGCTAAGGAGCTGCCGGTAATCTTCGGTATCAGCCTGAGCCAAAGGTTCAAACTTTTCAAGCTGAAATCCGAACCAAACAATCAAAATCGTACCAAAACCCAACTTGCTAGTTCGAAAATGCTTACCGACGAGACAGAGCAGAGAGTATCTCTGGCGCGATAAACCAGGTAAGAATCGATCAAATCATGGTCTCCCATCTTACGGAAAGCTGCCTCGTCGTCCCTAAGCACAACGCCCATTGTTAACTTGCCCTAGCCCTACGGATCCTCCTGCAATTTGTCAGTGAGGATGCGCGGTAAACCTCAAAAAACCAGGGTTTCGAAAAAAACGACCTCCTTTTTGTATGTATGGATAGATAACTAACTCCGTTGGAGCCCTCCCCCTTTTAAACGCGGGGAGACTATTAAATTTTGGTCTAACCTAATTTAATTTGCATTTCAACCCAATGAAACTTTGCAATTTGCATTTGAGGACAAAATTGGAGTTTTTAGTTTACCGTTGCATTCAGAGAAAATGCAATAAAAATAGTCTCAACCCCATGGGCGATAGAAGTTGTTTGGAAATTCGACAGCAATTAATAAACAAGCCTGGCTCATCCACACTGATTACGTTGTCACTTGTGTCACAATTACCTCTGAATTTCGAGATTGATCAGTTAGAAGTCCAGTTCAATCAGTCCGATTGTAACTTCATCATCATGAATGGCCAAAGGCCTAATGTAGCTGCCATGATTGACGGTCAACCAGGTCGCCGAATAGAGACTGCTCCTTCTTTGGCACTTTCTACAAATAAATGGCTGCGATTGACATATAACATCAAATCTGGTAAGATAAAGCTTATGTTCTGCACTCTACAATGTTTGATTATACATTAGGTTTCATTTTGATATGCATGCAGCAGATATTACCTGATGTATCATTGAAATGTTAGGATTGATATGCCTCCCTAATCTTGTGAAGTTATCAGTTGTTGTTAGAATAAACTGCTTCCAGAATCAACTTAGTTAGGTGTGCATGTTGGCTCCGTTTCTTCTTTTTCCCTTTGCCAACAGAACATTATAAAAAGTTAGTTTCGGTTTATGGAACATATTTTTCTGATCCACTGATAGTAATTATTATATGACTTTGGCCAGCTTGGACAACTTATTGCTCAATTGTCTTAATAGCCAAGTTTTGAGTCATTGCATTATGCTTGATAATTAAATTCCTTACGTGCATGCCTCCTCTGTGTACCAGGAATTCAGCTTAGTATCTTTGATAGGACCAATGACAGCCTGAATACTGATAGAATGGAAATCAAGTGGCACAGACCCAAACCAGTTATGCTCTATGTATCATTGGGTTATTCTCCAGAGACCAATGAATCAAATGCCCAAAAGGTTAATGTCCACAAGAGCTTGTGCCACTTATCACCTCTGACTACACACAGACTTCCTGATCTTAATCTAGAGTTATCACCTCTGGTGGTGAGTTTGGAGCGCCCTCCTTATGCAATCCTTGGAGATCCTTTCACATATTTTTTTAGAATTCAGAACCAGACAGAATTGCTTCAGGAAGCCAAAATTTCATTGGCAGATGCACAAAGTTTTGTATTAGCTGGGTCTCACAATGATGCCATTTTTATTCTTCCAAAGTCTGAGAACATCATCAGATACAAGCTTGTGCCACTTGCCTCGGGTGCACAACAGCTACCAAGATTTACGTTAACCTCAGTTAGATATTCAACTGGGTTTCAGCCCTCAGTTGCTTCGTCTACTATTTTTGTGTTTCCCTCTAAGCCTCATTTCAAGATGGCTGCTGTGGGAGATGATAGGTTGGAATCATTGGTGGCTGAATGACTCCTGCCTCTGTTGAATAAATTTTGTGAAGAAGATGCAAAGAGAATGTCATGACAGGCTTGCTAGATGCATGTTGTTGGATAGGTGCACCCTGTATTTGACTACTACCGAGCAACGACACGGGAGATGTGCTGATGAATATCAAGCTCGGGATCATTGGCCTTGCAACAGTTAGTATATGGTCTTGCATCTCTCGGAAATGTGGTTTATCAATAGGAGATGGGTGTGCCCATCTCTTGCATCTCCCAATAAGGCAAAAGCATGATGACGATGGGGTGAAATATTATCAAACAGAACTTATGGGCGTGGTAGTCCTCCTAAGTCTGGATATGAAGAATATGTAACTGGTTAAACAGATAACCGAGAAAATTGATACTACTTTATCGAGGCACTGGTAACCCCTTTTTATTACAAGTGGGAGAGGGAGAGATTTTGCAATAAAAACAATTTCAAAATTGAGGCCGTGAGGCAGTGAGTTAGCCAAATAAAGTTAAATTTCATAGCCAAACAAGGCATGCCCTATATAAGATAATATACTGATAATTTAATGGTTAACAAAAACTTACACACTAGAAATGGAACTGGGTATTCCGGCTTCCTCTTCACATTCCTTTACAACATTGTCCCCACATGCAACCCCATGAGGCTGCAATTACAAACAGGGGATACATAATAAAATTCTAGCTCAGAAATGCATTAAGATCATTGCTAACTAGAAAATAGGCTTAACGAAGAAAGTATTGTATAAACTTTATCATTTTTGATAACTTATTTTCCAAGATTGGGAATCAAGAAACCTGCCACTTGCATTTGCTAAGCTTAAAGTAGGCCTCTAAATATCAGGCAAGGAAGAACCACTTGCTCTTCCACTTGCCTCAGATTACAACCATAAAATCCAGCCAGTTCTTGGTCAAGTATTTTCACCAATTACATTGACAGTAGGTTGCAACAGAGCCGTCTAATCTAGGAACATGTCATGTAATAGAAGTTACTATAGCTGCCAAAAGCAAACTAAACTATAGCAAGCTCCCTTTGACAGCCTGAATACTGATAGAATGGAAACTAAAATGCCTTAAAGTGAGTTGAGAGGCTCGTTACAAACCAGTCCCCCAGCAACTAGTTGATCAAGCATCCCTTGATAAGTGGTTTTCTGTTGACTTCTCTTCCCTATCCATAGAAACTTCTTCCCATCCTTTTCAACATAGCCATTCATTTGCACTCCATAAGCCTATTCCAACAAGAAGTATACATAAAAGAATGTTAAAAATGAAAGTTGCAAGAAAATCAAATGAACAACAATAAAAGACTTAGCTGGCTTCCTATGAGACCATTGAAAAAGCGACCAGACTAATTAACCCTTCAATGCCTACCACTGAAATTTCTAACCCTACCAAAAATCTTATATTCCTCTCTAGCCAACACTATAGCACACACAGTCACCTCCAAAACCTCATTATCAAGCCCCTTCACAGAACCTCGATGTCGATATTAATCCAATGAGCCAGTTTCCATTTATCACACAGATTAATATAGCTAAAATGACTTGCTAGAGATGCATCAAAAATTGATTATAATTCACTGTTTAATCACCTAGACCAAGGTAAAATGGTGGCGCAAATGGCAGAAACAAACCTTTATTCCAAAATAAGGAGCAGCTGCACGTTCTAGACAGAAAAATACGGGTGCCCCAAAGGATGATGTCACAGGGTATAGCTGATCATCCAAATAAAATGAAACCATAGTTAGCCCAGATAACAAAACTAGTGTTAATAGTTTATACTGTTCCAACAATTGGGGTGAAATTAGAAGGACATACATATAGGATTTGATTCAGTTAGCACAAACAGTACCTCATTCCTTATACCTGGAATATGTTCTTCCCCTAAGCTTTTGATTACATCTCCCACCGCTCTCGTCCTGTCCTCAGCTGTGCTCAGCGATGAATGCAAGGTTAATGAACTGCCATTAGAGTTTGAATTTTCTGGTGGGAAAGTAAACACGTCCTTGAAACAACGTAAATTCTCAGCAAAACTACAGAATTGGGAAAATTATTCAGTGCTACACTACACCTATATCTGAGCATGAAACGGGTATTTGAATTCACGGAATTTGAGCTTACCCTTTGTGAATGTAACCAACGATTTGGTCCTCAATTACAAAGGAAAGGAACTCAGATTGCGATTCCTGCAAGCAGTTTTAATAAAATGTGGAGTGGAGATATAAACGAACAATTGGTCTGTTTGGCAGCTGAGAAAATGTATTGTATAACTTACCAGTCTGCGATTGCAGATTTTAATCTTTCCGAGTAGCCCCTGAGATCTGAAGGGTCGTCGGAAAGGGTTTCCGGTTTGGATATCCTAACGACGTCGTCCCAAGTGAAGACATCATCGTCGGAGGCACAAGTGAGAACTTCGTGAAAAGCTTGCTGGGTGGAACGAACTGGGAACGACGTCGTAAGCGCCTTGGGGAAAGCGCGAAAAGCTTTGGCGGTAAAACGGAAGGCCAGAGAGTCGATGAGTCTGAGAGAGCTGAGGAATGCCGCCGCTGCAGGCCATGAGAGCGGGTTCGATTCTCATTTTACAAGATATCCTTTGTTTGCTACAGTACTCACTAATTGGTTCGTGTTGTTCGCCAATTGGTTCGTGTTGTTGCCTTGTCTGTTAATTGATGAAACCCCTCCTACAAATGTGAAAGTAAAAACGAAAGGCCATTCAATAACCATTTCAATTTTAATTTTTGGTTTTCATTTTTTGTGATAAAGTATTAAGAAAAATGAGAGTGAAAATGGGAGTGAGAATGAGATGAGAGAGAGGATGAGATAATTTTGAAGAAATTATTTTAAGTTTTAAATAAAAGTGAAAATAAAAACTTGAAAAGTAAAAACAATTTCAAAAAGATTTCAGTTTTAAGTTTTTGTTTTCAATTTTGTTACTCCTTTCTCTCATTGATCGCATTGTAGTGTTAATTTGTTGTTACATAACCAGAAATTCTCTTATGCGGACATCCGGACGTTATTATCGTGCGGACGCCCGGATAAAAGAATAACTAGTTACATAACTATTTGTTTCTGGGTTCCAAAGGGTTTGTTGAAGCAACACTTGGGATGGGATCATCAAGCCTTGCAGGTGAGAAATTAAGATCCCTATAATATATTGAACTGGGTTAATTGCTGCATCCACCCAATTTTGCCCCAATTCAAATGGGCACAAAAATTCTATCAAAAACTTTAAAACAACCTCATCAGGAGGCATATTGGCATACCACACGTTCTGATTAAGTCCATTGAGGGCAGAAAAGCAAGGCTCCATAATACCCTACATAAATGAATGTATAAATAAAAGAAACTTGAAAAGGAAGTCTACGACTACGCATCTCACTCATCATCAGCTTGCCACAATCCTCTGAGGCCATCATAATGTCTGTTGTACAACCAATACAGTTTTGCAGTTTGCATCTTCCACAAAAGTAAAGAGGGGTTACACACTTTCAATTTACAAAGACTCCGGACAAGTTGACGGTCTAATTCTCGAGGGCATTCGCATGGGTTGGTTTATTGCACCACCAAACCTACTATGTAAGGAATCCTTTGGTGTGATTGACATTTTGTTCAATGCAGAGCCAACTTCAGCAAAATCAAAATGTTGTTCCTCCAAGCTTTGCATAATCCCATAATCCATTCCACCATCTTTGTCACCCGCAAAAGCTTCGCCGACATCTTCATCACTCGAATCTTTGTCATCATATGTGGGTTGAACCATTGACCAGAAAATGAAGTTTGGCAGGATGTAACTTCGTACAGAGAAAAAATTAGTGTCAGCAAGGCATTCATCTAAAACTACCAAAAACAAATGTGGACGTGAACAGATCATCAAACAAGACACTTCGATGTAGGGACTTATTTGTATTTCCCAAAAAGGGCTGGGGTGTCCCAATTTTTCTGTTCAAAGGAATGCATTTTTACAACTAATATTATCATGATTCCTGTCCATTTCAGGCATCCAACCAGAGTTTTTCCAATGTTACATGTGATTTTAGGGAGAAAGGAAACTCCTGATACAAACCTGTCACTTTTACTTTGGCAGGCATGGGTTAAATGGGAACAACATGTCAAGCCTTTCTATCCCACCAAAGTCCCTTGAAAGTTCTGATTCCAGGTAGTCGTCAAAATTGAATTTCTCAGGTGTCATGAATAAACCAGCAACTAAGTTGTATTTGGTCTTTGCATACAAGACTTCAAATTATACAGTACTAAGTAAGTACTTCCAGGTACTTCAAATTACTAAGTTGTATCTGGTCTTTACAAACAAGACTTCAAATTATACAGTACTTCCAAGATAAAAACATCACATAAGTTACCTGTAGTGGTGCAACAGCTTCTACAGTACCAGCTGCTCCAAGTAGGTGAGCAATGATGGATTTTGTAGAGTTTACTCTCAACTGTAAACATTAGAGTAGAGATGATATCAAGCATGGGAATACATACATGACAGTAGGAAAACAGAAAATACATGTTATGCATTTTGGTTACCTCAGGATTCTGGCCAAAACAATGAATAAGAGCATTATACTCTTTGAGGTCTCCGGGCCTCCAGCCGGTGTGTAGTGCGTTGATGTAATCATATTCCCTTGACACCCAAGACTGAGCTAATGCCTTTTCTATGCACAGAACAACATCAGCACCTGTTTCAGAGGACATTAATAACAGATTATTCTAGAATGTGATGTGATTCATTGAAACAAAGTGCAAGGTGACTCAGGATTTGAGTACTAATTAATTACAGCCATAAGGATACTTTCAAATCTCTTAAAAATCAATATAGAAAATCAATTGGCAAAAAAACGATAAACAAGGAGACGCTATTCATATGATTATTTCCACTTCATGTTCTTAAATAATGGAATTTTATTTAGTGTAAATGCAGAACAAAATAATGAAACTAGTAAATCAACAGAAACAACTTAAAAGAAAATTATTTTCTTGCTTACTCAGCTCAACAAAACAATGAGAAAGAGAGAGTGATATTGTCAAAGATAAAGCATATTACCATCAGGGTGTCGAGGTCCCAGGCAACCCCTTGGCCAGCAGCTGCGCGACCCCAACCTGTTCGATGAAAGTCCCCAAAGCCTTGCGCCCATGGTTTGCTGAAATTTCAGATACGTACTCGGATTGCTGAAAAGTAAGGCCCAGGGCAAATTTTCTCAAGTGTGCCCCTTTATACAAATTAAACACAAATATATATATGTCAACTAATTAATTTTATTAAAATTATAAGAATTTACAAAAGATAAGGAAGAGCACTTTGGGGCCTCATTAAAACCTTGTTTGGGGAAAACCCAATGGGACAAAACCCCAAACGAAGGAAAAAGAGTACCACACATTGTAAACATTGTATTAAAAAACAAAAACTACATATTTCAGTCTACATGCTTCCTCCCCAATCTCCGTAAGCATTTCTTGATTTGATCAATCTTCTTTTCATCCTCCACAATTAATCAAAGCAAAAAATCATCACATGTACCTACAAAATAAAAATAGCAATGAAATCTCAACCACAAAACATCATTTAAAATGTCTTCTTGTTGCACTTTTAGATGCAAAATCATCAATTATACTATCATATTTAATGTTTTCTAAAATATCCTTTTCAATGCATAATATCGCTAATCCATTTAGCCTATCTTGAGCCATGGTGGTCTACACGTAAGATTTCAATACTTTTAATTTAGAAAAACGCATGTCTTCAAATTGTAACTTTTTACTAACTAAGTTAATCTTATGCAAAATGTCATGCCAAACAACCAAACTTAATATAAATTCAAAACTTGAAAGCTCTCCTAATGCTAAACTTTGTGCATCCCTACTCAATTCGGGACATTCATTTTCATGGCAAGGTTCATCAATATTTTCATTTTCATCTAGATCACCAATTTCTTCATTCACATCATTCTCATTTTCTGCTAATTCTTCCAATTGAATTGGTTGTTCATATTCATTTGGCAAATCTTCATCTAAATTTTCAAGTGAAGCATTGGTTTGTTGAACAAAATATTTATTCAAAGATCCTCTTAAACTTTGAGCAATTTCTTCTTCTTTTTTCTTTCTTTGTCTCTTGAGATTTCCGGAAAGTTGTTTCTTAGGAAACATATTTTAATTTTTATAATAAACACAACATAATCAAAAACAATAAAACTAATTAACAAAGAACAATAAAACCTGGATTTTGAGCATATGTTCTTCAACTTGAAACTTCCAATTATAAAGAACAAGAATCCCAGCCAAATTTTCTGTTGAATCAAATAATAAAGAAGAAAAAGTTAATAAAGATATGTATTACAATTTACAAAATTTATACATCTAGATTCTATATGTATCTATAAGAAGAAAAAAAATTACCTTCAAAGAAAGGCACTAGTCTAGCTTGTGGATGATCTGTTTTCCAACTCTGTGTTGAAAAAGACGAGAATCACCAATTAATAAAATTTCCTGTGAAGTCTATGCCGAGGTTCCAGGTGGTATGCAAGAGGTGGCTCTCCCTCACGAGAACACCTAGCTTCATGAAGCTGCACAATCAACACTTGGGTCTCCGAAAAAGGCCAAAGTTTCACTTGCTGCTAACTATAGTCTTTGAAGCCCGACTAGAGATGGTATTTTGTCGCATAGAGGTGGATCCGGTAAAAAATACAGCCCAAGCAGACGAAATTATGACGGTTCCACACAATCTTATTGAAGGAGAAGTAGAGAAAAATGACATGCCTCATGGTTTAGTTAGCTTTTACTTTCAAGCTGTAAATTGCTTCGTATGTAGTTTTGGATCTACTGACGTGTCGTATCGGGTGGATATAGTTAAATCGTATACCCGAACCCTGATCACCCTTCCGGAGTGTCCTCCAATGTATCAGCAGTTCATAGGGCCCCGGGAGTTTATGTTATCTGACAGTTTCGAACAAAATGAAATTGCGTTGCATTTCGAATAAAATGAAATTGCGTTTTATTTCGAATATGATCTACACCACCAGCAATACAAGGTGCTATAAGCCCAATGGGGTTTCGAAAAGCCATGGAGACGTCCGTTCAATAAGAAAATGACATGGCTTGGTGTTCTCGATTTTCTTTACTTTGGGATCGAAAGAGTGGAGGGACATCACCGACTCAGCTAATCTCCACAACCTTTGCTGGCGATGTATGTCAGTAGCTATTACAGATCCACAACCGTCCACCTCAACGAAAGGAAAATTAGGGTTAAATGTGGCGGCCATTGTGACCAATGTAAACTTCTCCACACTAACATCAAATGCCAAAATAGTGGTGTTGTGGTGCCAATAGATGCTCCCATTGATGAATAAAACCTTGTTTGAATGATTTGATAGAAAATGATATGCAATCGTCAGCAAAGGTAGACGGTTGTGGATCTGTAATAGCTACTGACATACATCGCCAGCAAAGGTTGTGGAGATTAGCTGAGTCGGTGATGTCCCTCCACTCTTTTGATCCCAAAGTAAAGATGGCAA